AAAAAAAAAAAAAATGGAAATAATTATCTATTAACTTATCAAAGGTGGGGGAGGGAGGGTGAGTGGGGGAGGAAATGATATCAGGGGCTCAAGTGGGAAGAGAATCTTTTAAATGATGATTGGCACACTGGATGTGCTTGACACACTGGATAAATGTATGGACTGTGACAAGAGATGTAAGAGCCCCCAATAAAAGTGGGTTTTTTTTAATTATAAAAAAAAGAGCAGTTCTGTCCTGTCCTAAGGGGTCACAAAAAAAGGAGTCAACCCAATGGCAGTGGGTATTACAATTACAATGAGCCCTAGCGGTGCAGTGGTTAAGTACTGGGCTGCTAACCACAAAGTCAGCGATTCAAACTCACCTGCTGCTCCCAAGGAAAAAGATGGTCGGTCTGCATCCACAAAGATCTACAGCTCGGGAAACCCTATGGGGGCAGTTCTACCCTGTCCTATAAGGTCTCTATAAGAGTCATAATTGAATCTATAGTAATGGTTTGTTACAATTATATTCAAGGACACAAAAACAACTACAAAAATTCTACTAAACAGTGTGGAACTAAAAAATAAATTTCTGACATAGAAGTTATTTGTGGCCCTGACAATCTATTGGCAATGACAGAAATCAAAGTAAGTACCAATAGAAATAATCAAATGTCAAGAAGGACAAGACTACAGAAATCAGAGCCATACGGACCAACAACAATGTCAAAAGTACCACAGAGGAGTAAAATAAAGAACAAAAATTATGTATTTGAAGAATGGTCCAAAATTTCTCAACTACAAAGAAAGTGGCACCTAGGTACATCAGTTGAATTGCTAAAAAACCACTGAAAACTCTTTTAATATGTAAATGGGGAAATTTAGCAAAAATGAAGAATGCAGTTAAGTTGCTATTTTCAGATAAGTGAAAACTGAGAGACTATGGGAAAGGCTTAAAAAGCTCTCCAGGCTGAAGGGGAACCAGAAGAAAACTCCCTTCAGGAAGAAACAGATAGTGTGTTACCAGAGATAAAGAGGAACATTTCATAAGGACAAGAAGGCCAACTCATCAGGATAACACAATAATCACAAATGTGTATCCATCTACTCACAAGAGTTGAAAACATATAAAGCAAAAGTTGACAGAATTATGAGGGAAAACAGACAGACCCACAGAGATTTTAAAGTCTCTTTTTCAAAAACAAATCTCTTGGCAATTCACCTAAAATAAAAGAAGTACAAAACATCTTAAACTATTAAAAACCTGGACCTAACTAAGGTGTACAGAGAACAGGTCCTTCTTTGCCAGCCCTGCTGTGCACAGACATTCATTACGACAAGCCTCATAAAAACAAGTCTCAATCAACTCAAAAGAACTGAAATGATACAGAATATGTCCCTTCAACATAATAGCACTTAATTAGAAATCAGTAATAATAAGCTATCTAAGAAAATGTCAAATATTTGGCAATTAAACAACATATTTCTAAACAGCTCATTATTCAAACCAGAAATCACAAGGGGAATTAAAACTATTTCACATGGAATGATAATTAAAACACAAGCTATCAAAGTTTGTGGGATGCAGTTAAAGTCGTGCTTAGAGAGAAGTTTATGTTCTAAGTGCTTATGCTGTAAAATTTGAAAATAAGGTCTAAAAACCCATGGCCTACGGTTTCACTTTAAGAAGAAAGTAATCCAGAGTAAGCAGAAGCTGAGAAGAGCAGAAATCAATGGGTGTAAGTAGCATGTAGACACTTATGATGGATGGGAAGCCAAAAAAAGTATTGCTACAAAAATCATAGAAACCTTTACTTAAAAAAAGAAACACGTCAATCTCCTGAGTCTCCACATCCTCCATCTAGGTCTAGGTATTTCAGAAGGCCGTTTCCGTTTCATCTCTACCACTTCCCAAAAGAATTCCGTGCTGTAAAACAGCAGTTTTAGCATCCTTTTACATGTTCTTTGAGTTTGGAGAATAAAAAGTATAGGCTGGTTCAAAGGGTGAGATTTCTCAAAGTTAATTACAACTTCCTCTTAATATGCCCATGACCCCTTGAGAATCCCCCCAAACAGCCACCTTCTCAGCTTGCAGGTACCTAAGGAGATTAGATACTGCTGAGAGAACTGGTCCGCAGCAGACATTCAGAGATCGCAGAGACCAGTGTAAGGTTTTAAACATGTACCTGCATGACCTGGAACCCCCTGTAGCAATACTTTTTGACTTATCCCTGTGTGTTCACAGTGACAGTGGATATAGTCTTATCTGGGTCAAATTAATCCATTTAATACACTATTGGTGTCAAAAGCAGTATCATTTACTTTATTAATTATGATGGTTTCTTTTTGCATGTAAAGTGAGTCAGTCTAGTGGAATCTTGACCCAAAAAAAGGGAGAAGCAGAATTTTTGAGAACTGAATATAGCTATAAGTAAAATATTAGGATTTCTGTTTTTACAACTCCACTTTTTCTCAGTATCATAAAAGTCTACTCCTACTCGTAGCGACTGTATAAAGAGCTTCTCAAACTATTAAGTCTTCACAAGAGCAGCAGGCACCCTTATCTTTCTCCACCATGGAGTGGCTGGTGGACTTCAACTATTGCCCTTGCAGTTAGCAGTTCAACACTTAACTCACTGCTCCACCAGAACTTAACTAGGGTCATAAATAAGCTAACTCCTGGCAAGCTGGTCATGTTCGAAAGAACTCAAGCAGTCTATAAGACACTCTATTGTGCCTCCTTGGCAACCAGCACATAGCTGCGATGAAGCCAGGTGGATGAGCATGGTGCATGTCTGTGTTTCAATACGGAAATGCCTGTGGTAAGGGCTCAAGATAGGAAGCAGCTGAGAAGGTGCTTCATTAACATGAAAAGGAAGGTGCTGCAGCCAGCTCCCGAGAGAGTGAGCGACCCAAGTGCCAGCTCCTCAGGTAGGAAAGTCAGAGCCATTGCATCACTTCCAGGCAGAGGATTCTCATCAGCAGAGGTGGTTCTGGTCTCTCTTTGGTATTCAGAACATTTCTCGTCAACTGTTCATTTTACCTGAACCGATCTCAGTCAAAAGTATTGAGGACTGCTAAATGTGCAAAGCATAGTCCCTAGGTCCACAGCCAGTGTGGTTTCAAGGTGATGAATGAGGATGTGCATACCTGTGTGTCCGGCCAGCTCACGGCTCACGCGTACATTCCCTTCGCGAGTTTTGAGATTGTAAATAGAGCAGATGTTGTCGAGGCCACCACAGGCCACATAGTTCCCAGAAGGGGCATATGCACAGGTCATGACCCAAGAGGAGCGCAGAGGAATGGCATGGACCTAGGGATGGGAGGAGCATGAAACACGAGCACACTCAGATTATTAAATACCAATGCTGCACTTACTCTCTTGTCACCAACCTTCTTTCCCTAGGCCATGAGAGAGCAAGACAGGGGCAAACATTATATTGAGAAACATTTATGCAACTGTGGCCAGATGACAGAATAACTTCATTAACAATTCAGCACTACCTACAGAATTTTTCTGAAAGTTAGGTAGAAACTTGGCAATGGCAACATTGACCCCTGATCAAACTTCACAGCATCAGGAGATACTTCAGTGACCAGTCAAGATGTCTGTGAATTCTTTTAAAAAACAAAGTATTTTCAGTAAAGCCACCAAAATGACAATCACCACCAGTCCCACCCCACATCTTCTAAGTACTGCTACCTCATCCAGGCTTTGAGCATTCTCTAATAAAAAACTAACCAGTTCGATCTTCGAGGCACATGTTTGAATCAGTAAGATTATTTTTTCATTCAGTACAGTTTTGGATTACATGTCAAAGAATCTAACAATTGATACTTCAGATTATGTCTCTCTGATGGTCTTTTGTAAAACGATTAAATGGAAAGCTGTATTTCTACAATTTAAGAGTAAGAGATGAAACGTCACAGACTGAGCTAGAACTGGAATCCAAGTCTCCCAGGAACCTAAGGAAGCAGTCACTTCCCAATAAACCACAGCAGAGGCGTGCCTGGTCTATCAGAAGAGATAGCAAGTCTGCTTGCTGCAGGGCCCAGCCCCTACCTCAGCTCGCTGGCCTTCCTCCTAAAGCCCCCAAGTGTGCCTTAAGCCACGTCCCTGCTCCTACTCTGTGTGGTATGAACCCAGAATCAGAGAACCAAGGGGGGGATTGTGTAGTCCCTTACCTTGTTGGTGGTGTAGCTATCCCAGATGATAAGTTTGCCATCTTGCGAGGCACTAACAAGCAGCCTGGAGTGAAAGATAAAAGCAAACACATTAGCAGACACAACCTGTGCAGATGTAACTAGTGGAAACTAGAATTTGAGCGACTTCCTATGTGCATTTCATCTGCTTAATACGAAGCGCTTCTTTTAAACAACAACAAGGTTTTCCAGGTTATATCAACTTTTACAAGTCATGAAAGAGTCTCACAGACTCGAGTCCTCAGCTCTGAAATAAAGTGTCAAACGCCAAGATTATTCCCTGTGTCAGTCAAGATGGGTGACTTCTTCCACTAATAGCTGCTTTAGTTTATCTTCATTATAAATAAAATTTGAGGCCCATAGATCTTTCAAGAGACAAGGAAAGGAAAATATTTACTATTTCATTTGTCCCATTCTGACAGAGAAAGCCCAGATATGAAGGAATAATGCACTTTCAAATCTTTCAAAGTCATGAGCCATTCTGCTTCCCAAGACCACCCTTGAAAAACCATGAGGTTTGACTGAGCTACCATGGGAATCCAGGCCTCCTAGGGACAGCACGAGGTCTCCCTTCTACCCTGTCAAGAGATGAAAAACTATAGCAGAATAGGCCTGAACCATCAGAAGAGAGTAGTTTTGAGGATTTTTTTTAAAAATCCCATGACTGGGCATCTGTGCTAAGTTTTGGATCTGAATTGGAAGGAGCTATGTCTACATTTGCAAAACAGAGAGACTACAAAAGGAGTGCATGACCAATGGGCAACGGAATGTGAGCTACCTAGAAAGCAAAGCAAGAGAGTGCTGAGGACTGTCCTGCAGGAGTGCTGCTTGCAAGGAACCTGGACAAGAGCAGTCTTGCATTTTAAGCAGAAGTATTCTGTTAGTGTGCTAAGGAATAAAATACATTTCATAAGACACACAGGTTTGAAGCACTCACTCTGACTGCTCTTGCTTCTTAAAGCTGACCAAGAGCTATGGGTCAGGCTCCTTCGAGTCACTTTGATAACTTTGAAGATTTCAATCGTATTAGTGCTCAAATACTGAGCGCTAGGCTTGCCTGGGTTTTCAGTGGGAGCCCTAAACCCATTCTGAATCTCCACACAGACTCAGCCTCCAGAGTTCTGTCTAATCTGGGCGGGTAAGGAGAATAGCTTTGTCCTCCAGCAAAGGAGGTTTGTTGCTCTCCCTAGCCAGCCCAGGGAGGGGCAATCTTGTCTTTAGGAACTTGCCTTGCTGTGCCTACGATGGAAATCGAGGTACTAGGGCTACATGGGCATAAGTGATACCCCAACCAAGGTGTTCAGAGGGTCCTGAATCAATCTTGTAAATATTTCTAATCTGCAATAGTGTACCAATTCCAATCATGGTCCTTTTCCCACTTTGTGGATGTGATGCATTGATCTGCCACCAATCATCAGGATTTTACTAACAATTTCCTTCGTTCTACATGTCCAATCTGCAGTCCTAGTGGCGTAATGGTTATGCATTGGGCTGCTAACTACAAGGTCAATTATTTCAAAACCACCAGCTGCTCTGTGTGATAAAGACAGGGCTTTCTACTCCCATAGAGTTATTATATACAGTCTTGGAAACACACAAGGACAGTTCTACCCTGTCCTATAGGGTCGCTATGAGTTGGCATCAACTCACTGGCAGTGATAGTGACATGTCCTAGCTAAGAGGCTACATTTCTACGACTCTGTGTACTCCATTGTTGCCTCAGGCTGATCACTTTCCTCATCTAGGCGATTCTGTATGTCCTGTTGAAGACTTACTAATGGATCTCTATTCATTACATTTGAGTTTAGAAGCTTTGTTCTAGCTAGAACTCACCCAACTTGACATTTTGAGGTATTAAGTACACACTTTCTTTAAAGAGATGTCAACAATGAATTTGGCATGGAATATCTTTTCAACACTGTATTATAAAACTTATTACAGAACTAAGTTAAGTACAGGCTCCAAACCCATTATTTTTCAGCTGCAAACCCCCCCCCCATTTTAATGGGGGTTCTTACAACAATCCACACATCCACTGTGTCAAGCACATTCAGCTGCAACTTCTTAAAGCAAGTTTTTAAATCTAAGTTCAACACACTCATCTGCTGCTCTACTTTGCCTCCAGGTGGCAAACCAGCTTGTTAAGAGTACCAGAGCTGCTCTAAGACTCATCAGCTCATCCTCCCAGGCTGGAAGGTCACCTTCAGACATGCCTCCTGGTTTTAATACTTGCTGACTTGCAGAGAACATATTAAGCTGCCCATTTATCCGTCCAGAAGGTGAGAGAAGACATGTCTCTTAATCTCAAGTCAGGTAACTGTTCAAAAATGGGTCTGCTTTGCCTGCTAAAGCTTTTATACCTTGCTGGCCATAACCAGAACAGTGACAAGAGCCAGGTAAGCTGTAAAGGACACTGAAGGCAGACAGCCAAACACCTACAGCTTTGCATTTACCCTCCAGTTTAGTTTAGCTGCATATTTTACTACTCAGTACAACGAGACTTCAGTGATGAGAGAAACTTTAACTTTAGTTCAGGTGGCTGAGAATCTCAGAAGTTATAGAAAGTAGAACTCAAATAAGTAGAAGTGAAACATACATACATATACACATATGCATATTATGTGGGTACATTATAGGAGGAAGCTTCAAAGAATTTGTGGGAAATTCCATTATCCCAAAAATGTTTGGAAACCATTTTGTGTCACTTGCATGCATGTCAATAGAAAGCTATCATTGTGGACCTCTCATGTAGTTTGGAAGACAAATGAATCATGCAACAGTTTGAGAGCATCTAAGAAATACACAATGAATTAAGTGTTGTTCTTAATTATGGCCCTGAATTTAGGGAGGGGGGGGAGAAATTTTATACAATATCCACTGCTTATGAAGGTAGAAAATAAGATGTAAGCAAAATGTATGTCCAACACCTCCCACCCCACCTCCACATATTTGTTTTGGACACTAAAGAGGCAAAAGTCTATCTAGAGAACAGGGCTATCTATAGTGGCTCTGAATAGCAGGTGGACTTCAATTATTTTAAAATAATGATTTATTGTGAAGTATTACACTGTAATTTAGGTTCCCAATCAACAACTTCAACACAAGTTGTCCAGTGATGTGGGTTACTTTCTTCACAATGCGTGAGCACCCCATTGTTTCCATTCTGGGTGTCCCCTTTCCATGAATGTAGCTTTCCTGCCCCGTCTTTGTTTTAAAGTAGTTGTTGGCAATTCAGTCTCCTGCAGGTGTTTTTTTGAAGGAATACAGTACTTAGTTATGGGTGGTGGTGATTTCTGTAGCTATAAGATGAACTCAGGGTCGGTTTCAATGCAAGGTTTGAAGGCGATGTGAAGGACAAGTCTCAAGGAGTCCTCCAGTCTCAATAACCAGCTCAGTAGAGGTGGCATTTTTAAGCTTGAGGGGTTCAGTTCATTCTCTCCCTTTCTGTCAGGGTCCAGTAGGACTAGTCGGGAACCATCTAGTTCTGGTCACAGTGTGGATGGGCTGATGTGTGTACATTATTGGTCCTGCAAACTAATTTCTTCTTTATTGTTGTCTTTTACATGAAGGTCCTTTAAGGGCCCCGCTTCCCCACATGGGGCCATGACCAGGGCACGTGAGGAAGGGAACCATCCAGGGTGAAGGAACACCTCTACGCCATCCCATTTATACACGGAACTAAAAGAGAAGCACAGTGCCAGTGCTGTGGTTAGATGCTTACTGGCAGCCTGAAAAATGGGAAGTTCAAGCAAGGATGGTAATATTATTAAAAAATAATAATAATACAGGTCCTTCTCAAACTGGGGTCTCTGGGGGAGAGGGGGCACGACTTTAACCCAAACGGAATCAAAAGGACAAAGAGAGTTTGAAAGACTAGAACTGTCAGGGGTGAGGGGGAAAGGAAGGTCCTTTGGGGGTGCTGGGACATACACACACACCCGTTTGGCAACTGGAGGAAGGGAATGTTCTCTCCCTGATGGGATTCCCCAAGTCTCGGGTCTGGCAGGAAAGGGCAGCCTGCAGCCCCCTGCAAGCAAATCTGGAGTTGCTGGGTGGTCCATGCAAAGAGCTGGTAGATAATGGTGCATACAGCCAGCCAGCCCCCCACCCCACCCCGTCCAGCTTCTCTGCCAAGGTGCAGCAATCGATCCTTGACCACCTTGGAGCAATTTTCTTAAAATTCATGACTGATCCCTGTCAGCTTCTTCTTGGTGGCTTCTCTGGAGTCAGCATAGATCATTTTGCTTCTGTGGTTGTTAGGTGCTACCAAGCTAATTCCAACCCACAGTGACTCTCTCCACAACAGAACAAAACACTGCTCGAGCCGGCACCATCCTCACCATTGTTTCCATGCTTGAGCCCATTGCTGCAGTCACAGTATCAATCCATCTTGAGGACCTGCTTCTTTTTTGCTGTCCGTCTTGTTTAGCAAGCATAATGTCCTTCTCCAGAGACCAGTCTCTCCTGACTTGTCCAAAGTATGGAAGACAGTCTTGCCATCCTGGCTTCGAAAGAGCACCCTGGCCATACTTTTTCCAAGACAGATTTGTCTGTCTTTTGGCAGTCCGTGGTACTTTCATATTCTTTTCCAGCACCACAATTCAAATTCATCGATTGTTTATCGATAGTCTCTATTAAATGTCCAATTTTCATATGCATTTGGTACAAATAAATACCATGGGGTTTGGATCAGGTACACTTCAGTCCTCAAAGTAACATCCTTGCTTTTCAATACTTTAGATTTATCCAATGCAACTAGCCTTTTAATCTCTTAACTGCTGCTTCCATGAGCATTGATTTTGCTCTCAATGGATGTAAACTCAAGGACCCAGATGATAAACCCCAAATCCCCCCCCTTGCTCTCCTTGATCTGATAGGATACATCTGAGAGGGCAATGTAGCAATCCTTGCCTAGCATCATCTTGACAAAAATGGAGTAGGGGCCACTGACAGTGCACACCACCAACCAGGATCTCCTTGCTTTCCTCTGGGATGACGCTCTGTGTCTCCTCAGGGAGAAAGAAAAGCCCTGCTTCCTAGGACTTCTTCCCCTTGGCTGGCATCAATTATTTGCACACTTTCGTGTCACTGAACCCCTTGATGATACCACCAGAGACAGCCACCACACCAGGGCCATGTTTCTAGAAATAGAAGGATATGATAAAAAGACCAGAGAAGAAGAGGGCTGCTACAGCTGCTGCCGTGATCTGAATGAACCACTCATTTCTTCTTTGAGTCATTGTCTCTCTCTTTCTGTTTTGTTCTGGAAAGTAGAGAATGGCAGTTCTGTCTTGGATGACAGAATTAAGAGGTCTCTAAGTACCTACCATTCATTCTTTGTTTTCTTCGGTTTATGATGGTAGAAGAGGAAATCCATATAACACCACTATGACAGGTAATTGTACAGTGTGATGAGCAGATGCCCAGTTACCCACCAACCTAGCTCAAAGGGCGAACAGGATCCACCATGACACTTATTACTCAGCCTCCTGTGCAGCCTATCCTGAACGTGGAGCTGCCTGTCCACTCCCAGGCTTTTCTTTCTCCAGTCTGAAGTTTTCAAAGCATTTGAAACCCAGATTGAACATCAATCATCCACCCAACAGTCTGGAATACAGCATCACCTCAGCTAGGTCACAGCTCTGCTAATATGGCCACACACACGGCAGTTCCTAAAGTCACCCAGCTAGTCGGCTGAGAGCGCCTACCACCCTTCAGGTCACCTCTGTATGATGCCTTCCTAACCAACTGAGCTGCAGTCCAGGCTGCCAAAGGAGAGCCATGTGCCTGGGGAGCCATGGACGCCCAAAGGAAGCCCCAATTAAGATACTGACAACCCGTGTACAGAGTCCAAGTCCAAAATGCAAAAGTTTGGTCATCATCTACTTCTGATAACAAATTCCAAAATAGATTATTGAGGACATTTTGTTTGTTTCATTCTCTTTTTTCCCCAACTACTGCCATCATTAAAATGATCTAAGCTAGCTCTCATTTGCATATGGAATTGTATGGGATACTGTATAGAACAAACTAAAGATAGACTCTTTTGTTCTCTAGTTGTTTACACTCCAATGCAGACAATTTCAAGAACAATGAGAAAGCCAAGCAGAAAATTCCACTGATAACCATGGGGGGAAAAAAAACCAAAACAACCTACTACTCAAGAAAGGCATGCTAAGGATAGTATGTTTAGGTGTTAAAATTGATTAAAGATGTTTTACTGAATTACTATTTGACTCAACTTCCTAATGTTCCTTTTACTAAACAATGAATGCATTATGCCTCTTTTCCCCTAGAAAAACAAGTTCACCCTTGAATACACAAGCAGTACCATGTCCCACTTGGTCCCCTGGTACCTGGAGTCCGTGCCCCAGTGCATGGCATAAATCTTAGCCAGGTGCCCCCTCAGCGTTCTCCTGGTGCGCATCTGGATTCTTCCCACTGGGTCGATGTTGTTTGTGATCTTAAAAAATAATGTTATACATGTTCAGTCTATAATGAAGTGAATGCATGACCCAGAGCTTCTGCTTCCCCCCTCCCCCACCTCTTATCTGGCTCATGCCACACCCCTCATTCACAGCCCTGATACCATTCCTGCCCCACCACCAGTCCTGGGGTGATCTCAGGACCCCAGCTCTCCAACTGACTCACCATGCCTACTCTGTCTGCCTCAAACAGATGTTACCTGGCCACTTTTGAACTTGACCCCTTTGATGGCCCCTACTGTGGTGCTATGGGATCCCTAATCATCTCCCACCTGCCAGGATAGCCTGGGGTCTGTCTCCCTATGGCCTCTCCCCTGGATGCATTCGCACAGTGTTGGCCAGACATACAGGACCTCACATTTCTCTGCTGTCTCTCTCTCTTACCCTGGCCTGCCTCTGCCCCTTCTTACAGCACCACTTCTCTTTGCAGAAATGCTGTATGTGGCCGGGACTGGACAACCGTCAGCATTTGCAACTGCACTATTATCACTGACAGCCCCAAATAAATTGGAAATGCTTGCAAAACTACCTAACATATCAAAATGCCTGACATTAAAGGTGTTAGCTTCATAAACTGAATAAGTGCATCACAATAGATGGTTTTAGAAACGTACAGCCGCAAGTATATCTGAGAATTCAGCTAATTCTGTAGAGTATAAATTTCTTCTTTAGCTTACTGTTTAGCTCCAATTAAAACATATCCCATAAAACATTAAAAAACAACAAAAAACAAACTTACTGCCATCTAGTCAATGACACCTCATGGGAAGCCTGTAGGGCAAGGCAGAACTGCCCCTACGGGTTTCCAAGACCATTATTCCTTATGGGAATTGAAAGTCTCATTTTTCTCCCTTGGAGTGGCCATTAACTTTGAGAATCACAGCCCAATGTGTAACCATGATGCCACAGGGCTTCTCATAAAACATTGGGGGAATATAAAAAAACTAATCACCCTTGGGAAATATGAATATAGTTTTTCTTTCATATTTCTATACAATTCTTTAGCTTTAGAAATTTAGGTTCTAGAGAAGGCTTTGTTAAAGTTATAGCTTTTAAATATTCTAAGATAGCATAACAATACTTTATAACTATGACCTCCATATATAAGTCATGATTTAAGGCTTGAGAGATGCTTCATTTCCATCTACTTTATATGCCTCACATGAGAACTGAAATCATCAAGCAGTGGCTTGAAGCTGAAGTCTGAGGACTGCCAGGTACTGACCTTACCTAACACCAGGCAGGTGGCTCTGGACAACCAAAAAGGCTCTTACCTGGGAGAGAGTTGCATCTGCACATGCTTTTCTTGCATCCTAGGAAAAAACAACACAAAGGGAAATCAATACTGCTTCAGACACATTCAGCTCTAAGCCCTCATGCCAAGCAGAGCCTCTATAAACTGCTAGAGGCAAAAATAGAATGCAAAAGGACAGTCTTCTCCACAAGTTTATTGCAGGCTTTGGACTACCAAAGCAACACTTCATTCTATGCTCCAGACCACACTGGACATAAAGAACCAGTCAGACCCACATACATTTGAGACCTACAAGTCACATGCCTTGGCCACCACAATACTGCATTGGGGTGGGTAGAACTTGGCACTGACGCCTCCCCTTCCTGCCTAGCATCCTTGCCTGTGCACAGCTCCTGTCTGTACCTCCCATGTGTAGTCAGAAGGGATGGGGCCCAAGAAAAAAAGATCCATGTCCAAGCCAAAGAGCTTGCTCTCTAGATTGTATTAACTAAGGATGTAATTTTAAGCAGACAGTCTCCATTCTGAATTCTATGGAAAAGAGCAAGTGACTTGGAGTTGGATAATCAAATTCATGTAAGGCTTGTGGAATATGCTGCACAAACTCTAAAGAAACATTCTAATGCAAATGAAAACATTTTTTCCTTGCTAAATAAACAAGGTTACTAGAAAATAAGTTTTGAAATCGTCACTTATATAAACTTAAAAACTGAGAGCCAAACATCATAAAGGAAAGAAGACAACAGCTCCAAGTTTTGGGCATAGACAGCTGGCATCTTCATAAATTTTCAAAGGAAATAATTTTAAGAGCATGACAATTTCTAAAAGGAAAGGTGGTTCAATCACACAATCACTTGATGACCCACTTGTGAAATGCCAGTCAGCACCTATGTGCATCAGGCATCCCACGCAAGAATGTCAAGTAGGGGAGGTTTTCTTAGGAGGCAGTTTCTAGGGGCAAATGGCTTCGCTCATGATAAATTACTTTTATGAAGTCAGTAGGAATATTTATCAATGGATAATATGGAGATATGTTCATAAAGATTATTGCTGTAAATACAACAAAGACCCAGATACCAAATTATATTTTAAATATCTATTAGAAGTCATTCTGCTTATAATTGAAACACAAAAAAATGGTCTCATCAAATATTTCTATCCACGCAGCTAAGGATAAAGACAGAAATCTGTAACTTTTTAGGTTAATTTCTATTTTAATTCAGAGAAGATTATACTACTTTGTGCAAAAGCTTTTCTACTGTTTGTGTGTCACCAAATATAAAAGTTTGTCTTTTCTGCCTACTTAAACCAGGAAAAATACATACAAGTCACCAGTCAGATTTGGTCAATTCCTTACCCTACCTGGGTATATGTCACACACAGAAAAATGCAGGGGACCCCAGCTCAGGGTCACCAGTGACATAGGGACCAAAGGTCCCACCACAGTTTGCCTGCCACTCTGGTGAGATAAGGCACTGTGTTTTAAAAAACGATTAAGTCTATATGGATTCATTTTGTTGGCATTCTCTATCCACAGGTGAGCTCCTAGTGCATTCCAGGTGCCACTGTTAGTCAGAGTTCCTTGGAGTACCTTTGTCTCCTCACCAATAGATTGAGAGGATAGTCCTTCAGGGGCTTTCAGCTAGAAACCAATTCTGAGGAAGAAACCGCTTCTCTTAGAATTACCGACTACTTCTATGTCCTGCTTTCTTTAACAAACATGTATTTCTTAGGCAACCAGCAGAGGGAAAGAAACGAAAAAGAAAAAAGAAAAAAAAAACGATCCTAAAAGTGGTAGTTGATTGCCCGACCTTCCCATGTGGTGTGGTAAGTTTAAACAGCCTCCGATGCTTTGTGCAAAGAAACTAGCCCGGGGCTTTAGTGTGGGGCTTCATAAACACAGAGGCCGGGAAGTTCTCTGTAGAGAAGGGTCACCACTGCTTTGTGCAGCTCAGCTGCTCTCCTAAGGAATGGTCGAGAGTTGCACCTTTCCAAATGGTAGCTGAGAGCCACAAGGGACCACCAAGTACTCATGGTACAGTTCATGGAAGCAGCATAAAACACACTCTGAATTTCTTATACAAGAAAATCCTGAAAACCACAAACTAGGTCAAACACCTGGCTGTTCATAATGATTTTTAATGATTTCCCCTTGGGCCAACTTCAACTCAGTCATTCTGTAGCCCATCTTTCATGAAACACGTAGCACCTGACTGAAGCCCATACAATGAATAAAACGCAACACACATGTAGCTACATACTCTAATTTGGTTTTTAAGTTGCTCGGCTTCCTGCCGTAGCTGGTCAAGTTCACTCATCTTCTGATCTTAGTGCTTGCTCTTCAATGTCACCACAAAGAATCCGGGATCTGAAACACAAATGGCAAGCACATAAAATAATTATAAACTGTTGAATAATTCAATGAAGCAGGTGATAAAAACAAATTGAAATTCTGAGCACTTTGGTTCATTATAAATCAGAAAAAAATTCTTTACCATAAAATGCCTCTCCCTAGGGCTGGGTTAATAAACTACAACTACAATTATTCACCTGGCTTTATAGAGCATGATGCTATTTAATTTACTAATAAAAAATAGTGAACTGGAAAGGGTATGTGTGTGTGCAGTATGTTGAGGAATTTTAATCCTGAAAGTCTATGAACAAGAACATAATACTGAAAAGCAGTCAGAACACTGATACAATGGCTCTCACACCAACAACCAGTAGTTATTTCAGGACACGGGAAACAGGGAGCAAACTAGCAACCCAGCACCTTAATGTCACTCAATGATCTCTAACTTAATCACCAACCAAAAAAACAATGCTCACATGGCAAGTATAAAAGGACATGGTGTGGCACTCACGGGTGCTTGAGTTCATGGACAAACCAGGCTCCACAGAAACAGTGTGCTCAGCAGCAGCACTTCCATCCCTGCAGGTGCAGGTTAAATTAGGATCAGTAAAAGCAGCCTGTCCGCCCCCTATCCGCCCGCTGCTCAATCACATCAGACAATATTCCTGAAATTAGAGTCAAATGAAAGCATCCTGTTAAACCAGACTAATCTTCCCAGCAGACTGTCATAACTGGGTTGCATTTCTGACCAAGAACTTAGTGTTAAGTCAGACGGAAAGGTGTCCAGTATATCACAAAACCAAAGATAGAATCACCAGCATTTTAATCCCTTCAGAATACAATTAGCCCCACATGCAAATGTGACTTCTGTAAAGGCTTCACTTTCCTTTGCATAGGGGATGGTCTGGGGATAGGGTGGGGTGTTGGTTGGTTGGGGTACTGATGGGCCATCACCACAAAGTTTGCATAAAAATCATGACTGAAACAATAGCTCCTCCACGTATAGGTTCTTTCAAAGAAACCATGTTTGGTGGGGGGTTGCACACAAACCCTCCCAGCCATTCCAAGGGGCTCTGCTGGTGAGGTTATCAGGCACCACCGACAAGCCAACTCAGAAGGCTACACTCTGGTTGAGATTCCAAAGGGTCGTCTTGACAGGGTTTCTTGAAAGATACAGGACAACTGTGGGGACTTATTAGAAAGAGGTTTTAAGAAAACTGCACTGGTGAGAAACAGGCCTGTGAAACTGTACCACAGTGTCTTGTTTTTTTGTTTTTTTCCCATTAGGCAACGTACCTGCCATTCTTCAAGGGTAGCTTTAAGAATTTCATTGAGAAACCCACCTTACCCATCCTATAGCCCTGATCTTGCCCCTTCAGTCTTTTTATTCCCCAAACTCAAATAATGCTGTAAAGGAACCGGTTTTGGTCCTTCAGGATGCCCAAACTGTCCTTTTGATCGGGTGTGGATGGAAGAGAACAGAATCCTTCAGGGGCAGACTGGAGGGATGGATGCACACCTTCAGAAGTATACACATCGATGTTTTTGGTTAGCAAAGTTTACTATGATTTTGTAACAATACTTTTTCCTTACTCTCACAGATCACATATTTAATAGCAAGTGGTTAGTTTATTTTGCTGAAACACATCTTGGGGAAATTAGCTAGGTGGTTCAAGAAGCAAACCCGTTAAAATTTCCCAGTATATATGTCCTCTTTTGCACAAAAACATTTAAAAATTACTACATGGTCTACATTATAACTCAAACAAACAAACCCTCCAAATCAACTGTACTGTCAAGTCCTTTCTGATGCAGAGAGTAGAACTGTCCCAGGGGGTTTCCAAGGCGACAGCATCTTTATGACAGCAGACTGCCACGTCTTTCTTCTGTGGGGCAGCTGATGGCTCTAACTGCCCACCTTCTGATTGGTGGTGGAGTGCTTAGGCACTGCTCTACTAGGGTTCCTCATATTATAGACACTTGGTGTACAGTTATTTTTATACCAATAATGCTCACCTTATATGGTTTTTTTGCAAACAGTACAAAGCCTTCTGTGCATTAGCCTCCTGGGCACATCAGGCATATTACATGTGAAAATATAGTGTATAACAACTTATTGATGACAATAAAATCATTTGTTCAAATAGAAAGCCTTTTTCAAAATTGTAAGTGTTCCTGGTATATGGGGTGGAGAAATTTTTTACTTCGCTCTTAGTTACCCCCACGATTACTCACAGTTGCATACTTCAGCAGGGGCAGGGAGCCAGGGGTGCCAGTGCCTGATATGCTGGACACCTGCAGTAGCAGTAGACTGCCACACTCCCCAAGAGCCTCCTGAAAGTCAGAGCACTAGCCTTAACGGTAATTTACAAAACTGCCACGGCAGGCCTTTACTTGGCATTAAAGGCAGTGCTACCCAGACATCTTGAATCAGTAAACGGCAGTGTCCATGGCTTCCACCCTTTGGGAAGACCGGCTATTAGTTAGTATAGTTTTAATAACATTTCTGGTCAATAAAGTAGTTGTTCTGGTCACATGGACCCTCTTGAAGTATACCAACATCTTGGACAAAGCATGGTGAGGGTTGGTGCAGGGAAAGCATTCTTAAGAAATAATACATTATCTGTGGTTTCCTAAGGATGCTAACTTACAAATACTACTAAAATAATAAAACTACTAATAAGATACTAAGACATTTAAATGGTAAGCTATTTTACCAAAACATTGTAGACTTTTAGTTTTAGTCTAGCCAGGGCTTTGAACCAGTTTAGGCCAGTAGAGTCATGGTTTTGCAGCAACACCGGAAAAGACCTGAATAGAAAAAATTACTGGTCCAAGCTCTGCTAGAAATGAAATCTCCCTCTTAGACAATAAGGGCAGCATGAGCACTGACTAGCAATCAAGCCTCTTGACTAAGCTGAAAACAACACTGTCCAGCTCAAAGATGGCAATCAACCAAGCCATTTGGAATGGGAATCACTCTCCACAGTTATGGCAATAATCCAACATAATCCTGTGTTGCTTTCTGAGTTTCTTATCCCAGAACGTCAACCTGTTAAGTTTCCTCATTCTGGTCAGTGTTCAGGTTTTGCTTTATCGGCTTTGAATGAATCAAGTTCAAAAAGGAGTCTAGCACCTTCCCCCTATACAAGCACAACAGAGAACAGTTCTTCCTCTGTAAAGGAGCTACTTTATCCGACCTTTCCAAAATCAGCAGCAAGAAAAAGTAAAAGCTACTTCTGTCATGGAGTATACAGAACTAAATAGTTTTAGTCAATTTATGACCCTAATTTTAAACACTAGGTTAATTTTAAAGTGGTAGACCAAAAAAAAGCACATACCACTAAGATACAGGCAAACAGAGATTACTTTCTGACATGCCTCAGCAAATTATATTCTTCATGGCTAGGGGGACTGAGGCAAAGGGTAGAATTTCCTATGGGTAACCCCTGGGATTGTAAATTTAATTATTTCCTCAAAGCAGAGGTTCTGTTCACACATTTATAGAAGAACATGTACAGGACAATCACCCACTTTCAAAAGACCAGCCGCAGACTAAAGAAATGAACTCACTGTTGAGAACAAACCAGGATGTCTCTTTCATCAGTAAAGAGCAGAATGATGGGCATGGCTCCCGTAACAATCATGTCCAAATGTGAGTCTCAATCAAGTCTAAAAATCCTGATTTAGAAAACAGTGTATTCTTATTTTCTACTAGCAACAAAAACCTATTTCCTGTAAGACAATCAATCTACAGACTAAGAAAGAGATGTGTGGTGAGTGGCTGATAAATCCTCATTCCCACCCCCTATCAAGGGTGCCCCCTCCAAACCCATAAGAAGTTCCTTGGAGATAGACTTGCACTGACTGGCTGATACCCAGTCCTGGCGAAAGAAGGCCTGATGCCATCAAGTCACAGCAAGGTGGGATCCCCTCAAAGGTGATGGAGCAAGGCCCAGACAGGAGAAAGCAGAGTGCACACGCTCACTCATATAAGTAGCTAACCTTGAAGAGAGCAGACATGTCCTCATTTCCATAACCCTACGACCACCTACACTGCTCAGTTTAAGTCACCTGTGAAGACAAACAATGGGATGAACAGAGGCCTGACAGCAGCCTGAGGACACAGCTTGTGACATTATGCCTGTGGGAGTTGTCTTCTCCTCTCCTGTGTGTACAAGCTAACGTGGACAGTGGCTACTTAAGGAGGGGTAGGAGTGGGGAGAGACAAGATGGGTAGTAGGGCTTTTACATCTCACATTATCCTTTTGCTTGCCCCCCTTCTAACCCCCCAAAAGTACAACCAGAATGCTCCTCAGAAGCGAGATGGCAAGACTTTGTCTCCAGTCCTTTAGGCATGTTATCAGGAGAGACCAGTCCCAGGAGGAGGAAATCACACTTGGTAAAGTGGGAGGGGGAGAAGGACACCCCGAAACCCAAACTCTTTGAGTTGATTTTGACAATAGGTGGCTCTTTATAGAGTTTCATAGGCTTGTAAATCTTTACAGAAGCAGACAGGCCACATCTTTCTCCCTTGGAGCATCTGGTGGGCTTGAAATGCTGACCCTGTGGTAACAGTTCACCACTTACACAACAGCACCACCAGAGTCTGAAAAAGAGGAAGCCCCTCAACAGATGAGTTAACATAGTGGCTGCAGTACTGGGTTCAAATAGAGCAAAGATTGTGAGTGTGGGGCAAGAACAAATGTTTTTGTTTTTTTGTCTCTTGTCGTTTTGAGTTGGAAGCAACTCGCTAGCAGCCAACAACCTCTTCCGAGCATTGCAGACAAGGGGCAAGTCTTCCTTATACTTTTAAGTTTAAGAAAAGCTAATGTTAACTTTTTAACATCAACATATTAATATGCAAAATTGCATGCATAATTTTATCAGTTAGACAATAAGCCAATTTAGAAACTTTTTTTTCAAAGACTAAGCATTCGTTAGGATTACTAGTTGTGTTTTTCTCATCATTTCTCAAATTTTGATAATGCTGTTTAGATGACTGAGATTATAAA